ATGTCAATATATTTTAAAAATTAGAAAATAGAAAAAGACTAGAATTAAAACCAACCTTTAGGAAAATTTGGCTATTTGTAAGGAGATAAATCAACACATAGAAAGTAGCTTTTTCGACTGTTAAAAATATGTATGTATAATTTATGACAAGAACCTTGAAACCTCAATAAAAATGTTAACAGAAAAAATTCAAATTTCCAGAATTGAATCAAGAAGAGACTGATAAACTGAATAGATCAATGATGATGAAAAGAATTTAAAGCTTTGTCAATATTATTTCTAGAAAATGATTTCAGGTCCCTTTAGCTTTTATGTAGAAATTATAGAAACTTTCCAAGGTACTGGAGATTTTCAGATTATTAATAATTACTTTCCCAGGCTAGAAAGAATGTAAAATTTGTAGATTCCATTTTAAGAAACTAACATACCACTAATTTCCATATTCACCAAAATTAGAACACAGATATACCCCAAAAACAGTTCACACTCACTTTGGAATAAAGATTCACATAAGTAAAACTGGCAAAGAAAAAACATGCAATACTAATCCCAAAACTAAGGCTCCGAGATACTGCACCATTCCAGAATGCTTCTGTTAAGCCATACTTGTCTCTCCTGCAGAACCTGACCCTGAGCAGGGTCACCTTAGCCCATGTCACAGACATATAAATCTCCATTGTTAACATCCATGTTAGTTGATATTGAATGTCAGTGACTTCAAATCACTAAAGGGGAAAGGATGGTCTTCTAACCTCACTCACCAAAGTCTTCTAGCTCCCAATTCTTTATCTTTGAAAAATACCAGCACAACTATAATCAAGCACACAAAGAAAAGGAGACACAAGCTAAAGAATTTAGAGGAAGATTATTTCTTAGTACATGGGACACGGATCAGGAAAGAGGCAGCATTTAAGGTGGTTCTTCAGAGACAGGGGGTCATGTTTTCATCATCATATTACATATAGTGGAGGTGTTAATATCAAATTTTATTTCATAGTCAAAGATGAATGATAGAATGGTAACCTAGTGTAATAAATGCATTATCTAACTTGGAGTTGCCAAATAAATATTTTGAGTGTAAGTATGTTTGAAATATATAGTATTTTGGAGAAACCAACATAGGGCCAAGAATGGATTATCAGAAAGTTAGGCAGGAATACCATCCACATTTATTTTGGACTTTCACAGAATGTTATATTTTGCTTTTCCTCCATTCATCACCCCTCGGCCTTCTTAAAAATTTGGAGGGATTAATTCCAGATGCGCATGCAAGCACATTTCAGACACAACTAACACTGAGTCGAAAACAAGACTCCAAGGTCCCTGAGGAGCAGAGTCCTAGAGAGGCGAAGGACCCCTTCTTCTGTTTACCAGGGCACAGCCTGCCCGAGCTCTCAGAACTGGCAGCTTGGCAAGGGGCCTGGCCAGGGAGCACATAGCCAGGCTAAAGGCAGAGAATGCGGGAGCCTGGCAAAGGCAGTCACTTTTCCTGGACACATCTCTGAAGTGTAGTTTTAAAGGGGAAATAGAGTTGACCATTATGGTATTTGGGATTTCCACAAAACTGTTGCCATACACAGCTGGGATAAATATTTCCCAAGAGGAGGCAGCTACAAAAGCAGCCACCATATAGGACAGTGGTTAAGAAAATGGAGGCTGAAATGAGACAGCTGGATGGTGTGACTCTCAACTCTACCCATTGTGAGCTGAGTGGCCTCAAGCAGAAGGTTCGTCCTCTGTGGAGACTCAGTTTCCTTTGTGTAAGATTGGGAATGACCATAAAGTAATTAATTAAATATATATATATATAGCTTGACCAACAATACTCAAAAAGGGTAATTAATAGAATATCTATCCCAATATATTTTTGATGTTATCGAAATGCAAATATTGGCAAGACCTGTTAATTTTCATAGTATTTCCTCATAACCCTGAGAGAAATTAGGGACCACTAAGGGGTCCCCACAGTCTAGGATGAATTCCAGCATCCCTAGGCAATTCTGATGTCTCTCCTGCCCGCATAGTACCATTTGCAGGTACTATGTTGGAGAAGAGGAGGAGAGAAACCCAAAGAGGACTGAGCAGGGTTCAAGGCCAATACTTTTCCTTTCCTGAATGACTTCAAAGTAGAAGGACTTTCAGAGGAGGGGAATTTCTGAAATCCCAAGAAGACACCTGCAAACTTTCTTTTCCCAGAAGGCTCATGTGCTCTTTCAGGGGAAAGGCACAGGCTCAGCCTATTGGGTTTTTTTTTTTTTTTTTTGCCTTTTGGTACAGGGATCCAACCCTTGCCCTTGCGAGGCAGGCGGTGGAACCACTGAGCTAAATCCCCGGCCCTAGGTCATGTGCTTTTAACCCAATGAGGTTAAAAGAGGGGGTTGGGTGGAGGTGAGGGAAGGGAGTTAGCCTTAACTAGCTCCAGAAAAAGCCCAGAACTCCTGGGATTAATCCAAAATCAAGGAGAATTTCTAGTGGAGCAATCTAATCTCCCAAATTTAAATGCTAGTATTAGTAGAATGAAGCCACATTTAGGGCAGCTTTTGAACAATTACCATCAAATTCACATTTACATGTTATAAGAAGTAAAATTATCTTTGTCACAATTCCTATTTATAGAAAAGATTCAACCAACATCAGACAGTAGGCTCTGTGAACAGATGGACTGTCCTTTTCACAGCTATATGCCTAGGGAAGGGCAGAATAGCTATCACATAGCTGGTACTAAATAAACATCCTGCGGTCCATCAAACTGAATGAACCAAAAGAACCCCTCAAAGGAGCACCGCTGAAGAATTTATGTGTGGAAATTGTAGAAGATACTGTTAGTTGCCTCCCAAATATCTACTTTTTCCTTTTTTCTATTTTTTATCTTGCTAAGTTTGATTTATTCATGTGACAAAATTCTCATTTAAAAATATTCATCTCCT